TGAAAACAATGAATCTAAAAGTCACAATAAAATGGTGAATAAAATAGAATCAGAAGCATGGAAATGGAACAGACTGATGATTCTCAGAGGGAAGGGGAAATAGGAAGAGATTAAGCAAAGATCTTATATGCATATATGCATTACCTATGGACACAGACAGTAGGGTAGCGAAGGCCTGGGGCAGGGTGGGAACTGGGTGGAAAAAAGAAGGATATCTGTAATAATCTCAACAATAAAGATTTTAAAAAGAAAAAAATCAACTAATGTAAAGAAGGCATGAAAAGAGGAAAAAGGAACAAAGAACATATAAGACAAATAGAAAACAACTTGGAAGATGGTAGACTCAATCCCAGCTATATCAATAATTACATTAAACGTAAATTAATTAAACACCAATTAAAAGATGCAAATTGACAGAACAAATCAAAAAAGCAAGACAACTATGTTGCCTACAAAAAAACCCCAAACAAACAACAACAAAAAACACTGTTAATATGAAGCCAGAGCAGGTAAAAGTAAAAAGAAGGGAAAGGATACATATGGAAACATCATAAGAAAGGAGGAGTGGCTATATTAATATCAGAGAAAGTAGATTTCAGGAGAAAAAATATTACCAGCAATAAAAAGAACTTGTATATCAAGAAGACATAACAGCTCTAACTGTAAAACCACTTGGGAAAGCGACTGGGAATTTCTTTTAAAAGTATTACTGAGCAATTCCACTCCTAAGTATGTACCTACAAGAAAGAAAATATAAGTACACAAAAATACTTTCACAAGAATATCCACAGCAGCTTTTTGATAACCCCCAAACTAGAAACCACTCAAATATTCATCAATATATGAATGAATAAACAAATTGTGGAATATTACTCAGCAATAAAAGGGAACTATTGCTACAAAACATCACTGTGAATCTCAAAAACAAGATAAATGAGAGTAGCCAATCACAAAAGAATACATACAGTTTAATGCCAGGTTTATGAAGTTCTAGAACAGGTAAAACTTGCTTTTAGTGATGTACATTGAATCAGAGGTTGAGGATTATGCTCCTAAGAGGAGACATGGGGAATTTGGGAGTTGTGGAAATGGTCTACATCTTTTTTTGAGCTGAGATAACAGAGTATATTTCTCAAAACTCAACCAGTGTACTTTCAAAATGGGAAATTTTTATCTCTCTAAATTATACTTCAGTATGTTGCCTTTAAAATAAAAACAAGGGAACAGCGTTTTAAGGATAGTTAACAGAAAGAAAGATAACTCTGAGAACTGCAAAGAATTTGTTTTGTTACAAGGAACTTGTTAGGGATTTTAGAAAACACTTTGATTGAAAAGATGGGTAGAATCCAGGAAACAAGACATGTTAGTCTCATTTACCTAGAATGAGAAAATCAAATAGAAAACACACGGACTTTTCTATTTCAATGAGTGCCTCTCAAACATTGGCGGGAGGTCTTGTTAAAATGTCAGGTTCTAGTTCAGCCTCAGATGAGACTGGACAGTCTACATTACTAACAAGATGCCAGGTGATGTGGCTGCTGCTGGTACCTCTGCTACACTTTAAGCAGCAGGAACACACATCGCATTGATGATTTCTATCAAGGGACAATGTGGTCTATAGATTCCCAAGATGTATGGAATCCATTCCTCCCGTTAGTTACATGTAGATTGACAACTCAGCCCGTTTTCTATTTGTGAATGTAACCAGTTCAGGTGCACAGGATGCTCTGGAAAATAGCAGCGACTTTACACCTGCAGCTTTGGGTTCAAGTCCCAGCTCGGGTTCTAAACAACCGATCATCTGGGTTACCACCGCCAGGCTGTAAAATGCGAGAACTGTCCCGGCTCCCCCTCTCTAGGCTGTTGTGGGGATCGCAACAGAAAACGTAAGCGCAAGCAGTGGCATGAACTAAACCCTCAAAAGAAAAAAAAAAAGAATGACTTCAAATGTCGAGCAACGTCAGCAGAAGGAGCTTTCACTTACCACACTTTTAAAAGGAGCGGGACCTACAATAAGAGGTGGGGCTCCGGGAGAACCCCCTTGGGCGGGCTAGGAATGTGCCATCTTGTAAGAGAGGGGCGCCCCTTTCAAAAAAAATAAAAAGCTGTAAAATGTCAGCTTCTGCTTTTCTCACAGTACCCTGCAATGATGCAACTTGACATTGGAACTTTTCCCCCGTCGCCTACTTCCACGGGCACCGCAGTTCAATGCCACTCATTCACTTCGGTCTGCTGACTTCACACAAAGCGCTCCCCACGCCTCTGCGTCCCTGGCTCGCACCCGCTCGGCACGGTCCTGCCCCCGCACCCCGCGTCAGGGAGGGGCAGGACAGCTGTAGTTTGAAACACTGCAGGCACCAAGGACCTTGACTGGTCTTGAGTTTTCTTTTTTGGCGGCAAAAGTGGCACATAAAACATCTCTCACTTCCCGCCTTCTGTTCCAGCCACACTGGACCACATGCTGTTCTCTGACCAGCTGGGCTTCAGT